TTCTGTCCATTTCATCATGTGCCTGCTTTACATGCTTTCTGAAATGGTTCTTTAATATGTTGTATCCTGCTGCAACAGAAAGTGCCAGTGTTGCTGAAGTTAGCCAGGCGCGTTGGTTTTCGTTTCCGCAGCTTCCAATAGGTCCCTTCAGTAAATGCTTCTCGCCTACCAGCTTAGGTGCCATGCGCCTTTTTATTCTTCAGATTGTCCAGTTTCTGTGTGAACGCACATCCAGAAAACGATCACAAATTGCTGTTAAATGTACTGCGAGCACGCAAAAAGTCGTATTCATCTTGTTACCCAAAGCCTATTAATTTGAGAACAACTCTTTGTCGGTGGTACTACGTCAGGTCAAGTAAACCCCACGTTGGAGAAAAAGTATTTAACAAAATAAGAAAACTCATATCTTGTCAAGCTTTCGCTCTTTGTCAAGCAAAGTTAGCTTAAACAGACGTCCATAGGCTCTGAGTCGCTTCGAAGTATATTTTCGCAATATGATATGTCCAGTGCAGTGCTGACGGGGACATAAGGTATGAACATGACATCAAAATTTCATACACTAGCCTACGTAAATGTGTTTGTTTTTCATGCAACTAAGCCTCTGAAAATTTAAGATGCTAAAATTACGATCGAGAACAAGATTTTATTTAGTCAGATCGTAACTCTTAATTGTTATATCATATTGCATAACCGTTTACTTATAGACGTCTAATGGATCATTTACGCACGTGACGATTTCATGGTATTTCAGGACCATGAAATTTGCTCAAGCGCTCAAATACTGTGGAGCTGTGACCTGCCTAAGTGGCTGCCATATGCTTCTAGAGGCAAAGCGTGGTGCAACGTTGCCGTATAAACCGCTGGGAAGACTTCCTTCAGGCTTGTCCTTGGCAGTGCTGTTGCGAAACAAGATGACTACGTGTAAAGTACGATTTTATGAAGAGGATTTGTCATTTCAGGACTGCGTGGTCTTTTCGTATCACATGCAGGTGCTATTCTTTTCTGCTTCACGAGCTCCTCAGCCAGGGAAATCAAAGTAGAATGTTAAGAACAAGTCTCATAACTGATTTAAGCGCTAATAACATGACGTGCAGTTTAGAGTCGCGTCGCGTTTTCTCCATTTTGCGATATTTCTGGAATGAAGGATGTCCGTTTCCGTAAGCCCAGTAGTTACGTAAATCTTCCTTATCAATCTTCCCTCGTTGCAACCAATTAATCATCACCCTCAGTGCAGAAGAGAGACGCAATGATGAAAACTGGCTTTTAAGATGCTTTTTTGGGAATTAATACTTACGGAGTACGTCCGGATGTGCAATTAGAGTGTCTTGTTTAGAGTTAGATTTACCTTGAATGTATGAAGCGTTCTGTCAATCCATGGTGATACTTAACCCGTTAGTTGAGCGTTTCAGTGTTGATAGCACATGTTTATGACGAAAGAAAATGCACTCTATTCCACGGTATGTGACCCGCTTAATAGTTGCCTGTTTGATTAGAACTTAGACCGTGAATATAGATTCATGGATTGCAATAAAGTTGGAAACTATGGCACTAAAGTAAAACCAAACGTCCGCGTGACTTTGATCAACGGTTAAACTTCAGGCATATTTTTGGCATTAAACGATGAATGCATGTATCAACATCAGAGAATTTCTGTTGGGAGTGTATTCGTTGTCTACGATAACAAGTTTGAAAGAGTTTAATCGCCATGAAAAATAAGAAGGTGGTTTCCATCCACTAGCAAAATGAATATTTGAAAACTTTTTAACTAGCAGTCTCATTGCTCTTTTCAGCAAACCATATCTCCATGGACGATGCTCTCAGAGGCGCTGATTACTCTGATGTTCAATGGGTTATAAATTGATTCGATGGCGATGGACAACTCTTCAACTTTCAAAAAGCCTGTCTTAAATGATTACACGATGGTATCCTATGGCATGCCATCTAAAGTAGGGACTGCGTAATATTAGTTTATTACAGTTTATTTCAAATTAATCTGGTCAAATGTGAGGCACTTCAAAATCCCGTTTCTTCTGTTGCTTTGATTGGTAGCGTATGCCTGTGTCTAGTCACAACTACAGTATAACTTATACGACTGCTTATGCAAATGAACTCTCGGTGTGAACAGTGTTATTCTGACGAAATGCAAATATTAACATCTGGCCATGTCGTAATCGGTGACGTATCGTTGTATCGTATGCAGGCTTAATGGCAGCCGTTACGGAGAAATGAGGAACAGGCAGCGGATGTGGTGAGGTATGATGAAATCGATCGTTGCAGTCTTTATGCAACGTCCAATTAAAATCCACTGCGTGACCTGAATCACTTTCTCATTAATCGTTAACTAAGCAGAATCACCTGTTCGTCACCACGCAGTCTCCTCTATATCAAACGAACAGCCTAAATGTGACAGTCGCTACAGAACAACGAAAATGTATTTGACTCGACAGATCAATCAGATTACGTATTAGGCAGGGACGACAATCTACCTGAAACCACCGATTGAAGGGCTTAGCAATCCGGTTCCGCAGTATGTTGTGTTGTAACTGCAAGGGGCAGATTAGAGACCCGTACTATGCCCAGATTGGCGTTGACTATTGGCACGAACAGTGTGTCCGCTGCAGCAAATGCCACCGCGGCTTAAGCGATAAATGCTACCAAAAATTTGGCGCCATTTATTGCATGGAGGATTATTACAGGTAAGAACGCGAAGGAATGAGCAATCAACAGGCGCAACACTCTGTGCTGAGTTCATCTTACAATCTTCCAGGCTTTTCAGTCCGCATCGTTGTTTCCTTTGTTCAACCGGGATCGCACCGTCAGACCAGGTGTACAAAATTACCTCAAGTCTCATGTGCCACCAAAACTGCAACCGGTGCTATCAGTGTAACCACCTGATGCAACCTGGGGAGACGATAAGGCTCGACCAGCATTCTAAGCAGCTGTACTGCTCGGCACATTTCACTGGCATTTCGATGTTCGACGCGAAAGACGAGTCAGTGGGCACAACAAGGAAGAAAGACACTTTTCTGTTACCCAAAACTGAGCCGCATTTCAGTCGTGTCAGTGCCACCAGTGGCGATGTTGGAACAAGCTTGAAGCACGATGGCGCAGAGCTAGTGAACGCTGAGAAGCTGTTGGTCAGGAATTACATCAAGCGGCGTGGACCACGAACAACGATCAAAACTTACCAACTAGATCTGTTGAACAAGACTTTCTCAAAAACTCCCAAACCCTCAAAACATGAGCGTGCCAAGCTGTCGCTCGACACAGGACTAAGTTTGCGAGTCATACAGGTAACATTTCAATTTTGAACCTAGTCGAAGATTTATGACGTCAGCTTAATGCGATGACAGCGCGTCGTGTAATCTCTAAAGCTTCCGTTGCTGCTTAATCGTGACCTGAGAAACAAGCTAAACTGTCACTCGCTTGAGCAGGTCGTTTGTTAACGAACAGCGTATATCATCTGTCAGGTAGGCAATTGCTTTTTGTCGTCTGTAAAATATTCTGTGAGGACGAATCCTCCAAGGATTTTTTCTACACTGATATGTGTTTGAACGATCCATGGTTCAGGGCACCAAATACAACAGATGGTACGACAGTTCATTGCTGACACGTTTCGTTGCATAGACCGTAGCATCATTCGGACTAGGCTAAATACAAATGACTGCTTGCAGGCACTTATGCCCAGCAAGCGAACAGCGTTTTGCAACCAAATATTATTCAACTGACTGGTCAGAATATAAACAACAAACAGTGTGAAGTTCTTACTAAAGAATTCGGATCATTATTGTTTAAACACGATTCACTGTATGAATTTTGTAATCGTCTTCCCAGCTTTCGCTAATAACCACAGAAGGTAATCGTTGCAAATCCTGATTCTCATTGCTAATATATGCCAAAACTTTTTTATCAGCAGACCTAATTCACATTGGTCCTCTTCTATAACAGACTAAAAGAATGTCCTCAGTAATCGCATATTGGGCCGCAGAGAGGCGCTTTTCTATCCTCAGGTTCAATTTTCAGTTGGTTTTTCCAATGTACACCTTGTCGCAGTAACTGCGTTGAACTTGGTGTGCAACATATAACGCATATTCAGGTTTATTAATAGACAAGTTTCTGATGCCGGTTGTAGGTATCGATTGGAGTGTGTTGGTTTCCTATACACGAAAACCTCAAATTCAAACTTTGGCGTCCGTTTCATCAGCACGTCCAGAAAAGACATAGAGTGGTTAACTTTCATTTCAGTGGTAAAGCCTATTCAACATTAGTATCTTATTTATTCATGTAATTCACGAAGCATTCCAACCATCTCAGTTATTCCTCATTTCGTTGCAATAATAGGAAAATGTCATCAACGAACCGGACATATAACAATGGTCAGAGCTCCGGAGGGTATTCCTTTAAGGCGTTCACTTCCGGATGGTCAATATAAAAATCAGCTAAAGCAACACTAACTAGGGAGCCCATCGGAATGC